GCTCCTTTTCAGCGTTGGAGCAGGCCTGTTCTACGCTGATGAAGCTCACACCTACTCTTGCCATTAGTGCTTGGTCATCTGTTGACATATTGAATCGGGCAAATGTGCCAGCAGAGAGGGTCGCGGCAGTGTTGCTCCCGTCAGATGTGAGTGATACGGTTGTCTGTCCTTGACCGGCGCGATTGTTGGACCACACACCCGTGTCTCGAACGACACCACCCTTGAAATCAACGCAAAAGTGGAGATCGTAAGTTCCGATACCAAAGCTGGGGCTGAAGGTACCATTTCCTGTCAAGCGCCCCGTGGACGGATTTACTGATGCTGTTCCATTCGTGCGCGACTGTGGAAGATCCATGAGATCAACGAGAACCACAGGACTGAGCGACTCGGTCGCGTTGTTGAAGGTGAAACGATACAAAGCTGAATGGTTGGTGACAGTCATCTCTGCAAATACTCCACTCTGTAGCGTAATACCAAAGTAACCAGGGCGCGCTTTTGGCGAGCCTTTCGTCCAAGGAATCGCCCGATCGGACTGTTGCCATGTACACTTGTCTAGTGCATCATTTGGGCATCCCGGGTGCACGAAAATTGGGAAATTGCCCAAAGATGGTGACTGAAGGACAACAGTCAGCGTTAAAAGCCTACCATTGAGCGAGATGACTCACGCCACCGGTTCCATCGTCATGCATGTGTGAAAATCCCGAGACGTATGTCGTGTCATAGGCGAAACCGGCTTGGTTTTCACCAATTGTATCTGCTACCGCTTTTGCCATTCCTATAATCTGTCAGAGGGCATGGAGACTTTCCGGGACGTGGAGACTTCTGACCAAAGGGCAGAGTTGCCCCTGCAAATGAGTGACCTGTAGAGCTGTATTAGCCTGGCGAGTTGATAATCTAAAAGGAATATTCTTACCTCCATTGGAAGTACCTATCAGGGGATTAACGTAGTCCAGCACATCGAAGCTCGAGTTACTGCTCTCTTGCCCAGCCACAAAACCGCAAGCTAGGAAGACTGCTAGTATTGCTTTGTATGCTGCTGATGACAAAAACATTTTGGCAGGACTAGAGCTTCAATTTTGACCATGCAAGTGCTGCACCATCAGAAACAACCGGCCATGAAGCCTGGTATTTAACGACAGGAGCGTCGCGTGTAGTGACATTCCATTGTAACCCAAATTCCCCGCGACTGAGGTTAAGAAACCCCACCCCTCTCTTGTGCGCAGCGTGACTGTATGAGGGGTAGAAGATAGGAAATTGTCACTACTGCCGAGGCCAATCATAGCATCACGTTTCGTTTGACACCCCACTAATATTGGCAGAATTGCTTTAGCTGCAGCGATTGACACGGTCTGATTCCTGATCTGGAACGGTAGCCAGCTACTGCGTGTAACGCTCCATCGGAGCAGCGTGTTGGCCTGTCCCTGCAAGGGATGAAATGATCCGAGAGCCGAAATGCGGAGAGCCGACGATCCCCTGTCATAATGGTCCATCCGCAGTGAGGAGTATTCTGATCGTGGGCTGAATCGATACGCGCTGTCTCGTCAGAACTGCAGCAGAAGGAGAACCACATAATTATGGGATCTGTTGCCTGGCACTGACCTCTCAACCTTTCATATCGTTCGACAAGACTTTTTGCGGAAAGCCCTAGCCAGAATTCTCACGCCGATGAGCTTTGTATGTAAGCCTTCTGAGGATGAAGGAGGGTCGAGTCGCATCCATTGCACCTTCGGCGAAGGCATTGTTTTGACATGATTAAGAATTTTTGCAATGATCAAAAGCATTGGAAAGACGCGTGTGGGGGTACCAAGCATAGAATTTCGAGAGGATTGGTTGGAGTGAGCTGAATGCTTCTCAGTTCTCTCTTAAGTCTGAAAGGTATCTGATGCGGGAAATTGCAGGGGATCTCATTTACATAAATGTAGCTTTCACGGGAACCTTCTGAAGGTGGCCGCTGTGGATGTCTGGTCACATGCCCGCATCCTGGTGCCAGAAACGCGTTGGAAGTCTGCCATGCATCATGCGATAATCATTATGATGACATTATATACAACTTCTAAGAAGCGAGGACAAACGAATGCATCTCAGCTCTCACTCTTCCAAGACAATGTGGACGGTCGCTCTTTTGAGGATTCTCTGAATCTCAAGCACACTTCAGGCTGACCCAGTGCAAGTAACCGGCCATGAGTCGAGAGCAGATGTCTAGTGCCAGTACTGGCCGGTGGCTATCTCAAGGGGATGATTTTGCCATAGAGAATTTGGAATGGGAAGAGGTAAGCTAGTTGCAATTTCCCCCTACTGGCATAGTAATTGAATGCTGATTTCAAAGCCAGTTTTATCGCAATAACAGAAGCAAGGTTCCACATCTGACTGGCTCAGTACAGCAGTATCGTCAAACAATGCGCGAAGCCAAAATGCGTGCACAACAACATGAATCTCCAATAGTTGAAGGACTTAAAGTTTATGATCTGACTACAGACTCTCCGTCGAGCTTGAAATTGAGAATATACAAGCCACTATCGCCTGGAGCAAATGGGGCCGTCATGATCTAGTATGTATCTGGTTAGATCTCATGCTTCGGAACGGTCTAACAGTGTTGTGTCGGACGTGAAGCTTTCATGGAGGCGGCTGGGCCCTGGGAGACCTAGAAGGAGAAGACAATATCTGTCGCGTTCTATGTGTGCAAGCCATGCTAAATGTGGTCAGCGTTGACTATCGCCTGTAAGTGACCCATTGCTTCCAGAGGCTTCGCTAATCATTGAACGATGGGATCATGAAGTGCACCAGAGAATCCGCATCCAGCACCTATCCAAGAAGCGATCACAGCACTTCGTTGGGTAAATCATATCCCACTCAGTCACACTATACTAGACATAGCTAATAGCATATCTTTGAATAGTTATTCCAAAACAATCTGACCCATGGCTTCGATACGAGTAATATTTACGTTGGGGGGACTAGTGCTGGGGCAAACTTGGTATGAACCTTCTGATAATTGATTGAATGATGCTCTTAATAATATAAATGGAATCCCTCCAACTTAGGCTGCTGTACTGTGCCAATTATCTCGGAGCTTGGGAGTCGAAATCCGGGGTCAGCTCCTTCGGTCTCCAGTCTTATGCTCTAGTGAGCTGCACTACCAGAGAATGGGACTGAAAAGTATGGAACAATTCGTTGATACACCAATCCTCAATAAGCGCTCAATGAAGCAATTCATTGAGTGGTATCAGCCTTATGACCGGGGAGATCCTACGGTATCTCCACTATTGTCCCGGGATCTTGGTGGATCTCCGCCATCTTTTATCATGATATGTGGCCGTGACCCGCTCCGCGATGAGGCCCTAGCCTATGCGGACAAACTTGAAGAAAGGGGGTACATTAGCTCTTTCAAAATGTGCGCTTTCAATTACCACTGACTACATGTCTAGCATACCGGTGCGGGTTGCTGTCTACCCGGGAATGCCCCACGCGTTCTGGATATTTCCCGAACTGACCACAACGAAGACAGCTACCCAGGACATGATAAGTGGTGCCAGATGGCTTATTTCTGAGGTCCGCAGTACATAATAACAAAGCCACCGAGTGTTCCATAATGTCTGTAGTTCAATATCTTAATCACAATGATCTTCCCCCATCTACCGGCAATTCCACCCCGGTGATGAACGCCGCCTCATCACTTGCCAGAAAGGCAGTGGCATTGGCAACGTCTTCTGAAGTGGCAAACCGTCCCAAAGGGATGCTAGACAGAATGTTGCTTCTATTCTCTGGTGTGTCTATTCCACCAAGAATTAGAGGCATCCTGGCCATGTATTAGCACCGATACAAGGTAGTTAGGGCGTCTATCACTAGAGCGGATAATCAAAACAGATACTCACATCCCAGTTTCTCCCGCAGCGGGACAAACAGTGTTGAGACGAATGTTATCCTTCGCAAATTCTGCAGCCAGGCTCTTGGTAGCCTGCGCTCATTATATTGTAAGACTCTCTCCACACGTAAAAGTGAAAAGAAAGGAACAGACATACCGCACTCACACCCCCTTTCGTAGCGGAGTACCAAGCGTACTTTGGCCGAGGGCGAATGGAGCTCATACTCGAGATATTTACGAAAACACCCCCACCGTGGGCTTGAAAGTAGGGAGCAATAGCCTTGGCCGAGTGATAGATACTCTTAACATTGACTTTGTACATGCGGTCCAGCATGTCCTCAGACGTTTCGAGAGATGGCTACAAGGATCAGGCTATCAGTAAACACCATGGATTACAATAGAAGCCCATGAGTAAAGTAAGGACAACAAAATGGATACCTGAACTTCATGAACAATCCCAGCATTATTAACCACGATATCAATCTTCTTATATTTCTCCAGTGTCACTTCAAGCACCCACTTCCAATCAGACTCACTCGATACGTCTCCAAGAACGAAGATAGCGCGTCCTGGTGGCTCATTATGCTGCACTCGTAATCCCTCTAGCCGGTTAATATCGACAATGATCACATTCGCGCCCTCGAGAATGAATTTGTGCACGATTTCTTCCCCGAATCCAGAAGCTCCGCCGGTCACAATAGCGGTTTTGTTTTGCAATCTGCCCTGTCCCATTTTACTGTCAGTTTTGTAGTCAGTATTTGATGGCAGTAGGATAATGCACTGTTATATTCCTGGTGGCTTGCCCCGCCTGCCGGCTTGTTTTGGGCATTAACAGATGCGGGGACAGCAGCTGTGCCCCGTGATCACAGTCATTGTTTCTATTAAAGCAGCACTGCTTCATTGACCTGTTTTGTGTTTTCCCTTCTATTCCCTGTTATCGGACTTTCAAGGATTCTTAGAATTTTTCTGTAAGGCTTTCTGGAGTGTGAGTCCGGGTTACGTTGTAGATGGTTTTACTATGGCTAATAATATATTTGCAGCTCACAGGCTTCTTAGTAGTTATCCTTCTGTAGGAAAACCGTAACCTGAAGCTTTGTGGCTAAAGGACGACAGAATCTTCAAGGATATTGTAGTTGTACTAATCAAACTGACGATCAAAGCACTGCGGAACAGTCCACTCGACAATATTAGAAGCTGGTATGACCACTTTCGGTCGGTTATCATTGTCCTTCGGGAGCTTAATGGGTTCTAGACCCGATCCAGGCAGCGTGACAACGGTTTGCGCGTGATCCTCCATCGTACCCCAATCCCACCAGTCCAGTGTTTCCCCTGTGAATTGGTATCGAAGCTGCTGGCCAGGTCGGGCGTCTTCAGGCTCACAATCTCCATCCGCATCGAAAGACCAGAAATTGGACCAGGATTCCCCGGGGAAGAGCGTTGCGAACCGACCTTCTTCATTTTCTACCACGTTGAGCTGTCTGTCAGGATTATCCCAAAAGACATGTAGTGACTGATGGATTATGCATGTCTTCCATTTCGGTTCAGTCTCTGGACTAGACTGATCTGGGAAGACACGGCGATAGACGCTGAAGGATCTAAGTGGGCCGAACGCCCAGGTGTGGAACGTGATGGGGTCGGATGAGGGACCGTGGTAGGTGACCTTGATAGACATATTCAAACGCTCAGAATGAGGCCCTGTTGGGCTGCAGCTAAGCTGAAGACTCAGGACTGGTGCGCCGGGACTGTTCAGTTATTAGCTCACAAGCCTCCTCTCCACTGGAAGTGAAGGGCTTACACTCTTTCGCTTGGATCAATTGGCGGTGGCGTCGGAGGTGAGGGAATATGAGGGCGCCGCCCTTCTTGCACAGTAAAGGTGCGGTGTGCACCACCCGGAACCAAGATAGGGGGCCATTTTTGTTCAGTTCCCACCTTGTCCTGCGGCGTACCCCAATCCCAGTATGGAATCTCTTTGCCCGTCCAGAGAATGGTATAAGTGCGCCCCGGTTCTAGGAGTTTGATCCAGGCATCAGGTACCCTCTCTCGCACATTTATTGTACTGCGATCCCAATTCTTTTTGGCTTCTTCAACATAGAACGATGCCGGTTCATTGGGGAATTGACGAATACTTGGTAATGATGGTGAATATCTCGAGTATTTCTCAATGCCGATCCTCTCGACTTTGCTGCTTTCTGGATTATGAGACAATAAAACAAATTCTTCCTTACTGGGATCTATGAAAGGCGACCATCGCAGCCAGAAGCATTGATTGTTTGTGACTCTGCGCAAAGCGACTGTGAACGATTGGGTTGGTTCATCCTCCGTCCAAAGTGTCGGGCTGCTATCTACTAGCTCCAGGACTAACGGTGGGGTATCGGGCCTAGGTAGAATATTTCTTAGAGGATTCTTTCAAGGTAATCGTGCTGAACTTACTGCCGACGGTCTTCTTTCCATCTGATGTACGTATCCATTTGGAAACAGTCGGGGATATTGGTTGCCGGGAGTGGGGGTAACAGAAGGTCGAGAAAGTATGGGGTGGAGATTAAGGGTCTTATAAAGCAATTTACTAAGTACTGACTCCTGATTTTCAGGAATTGGCTAACTGGAATACGTCAAAGTAGAAGGCGGGTCACTTGCTAGCTTACTCCCAGCTCATCTTCCTCCGTTTACCACTAACTATCCACTAACTGATTCCACCAACCAGGTGACTCAGTATGGTGGATTTATTCCTCATGCATTAGTGTGATAAGGTAAAAAAGTGGGAGTCCTTGAATGCGATTTCAAAGAGCCATGTTACAGTTTCGTAGATACTGTCAGACCTAACTTATTCAAAAGCTTCCTGATCATGTCTCCCCAAGGGCTCCATGGCTTGTACCTTGGCCATTCGGGAATATATGCATTGGTATCGAAAGAACATCCCAAAGTGAGAATATGGCACGAGTTAAGGAACTAATTATCTTTTGATTGTTCTTCTCCCTTCTTCAGATAAACATTGGAGGGACTCTCTCAAAACCACTCAACATGTAAAGGAGGAAGGTCTATCTAAGCTTGTTCCTCTACCACATCCCTCGTTGCTTGTAGAAGCGGGTCCGTTTCTCCCTCTCTTACGGTCACTCCCTTACCACCCACTCTCCTTCTCCCTACCAGCCCCAAGACAGCCAAACCCCCCTGGACTAAAGCAAATATCCCCGTACCTCCGCCCGGCCAACCTACCCGTGCATACCAAATAATGGATCGGAACGGCGTTAGGGCATCGACCCCATCCGGGAGTTTCACTCGGAACACCCATGACACAGCTAGCATAGCCAATACTACCCCTTGGAGAGCGCAATCCCGCACTCTCAGCATACTGGAATTCGACGGCAGTGAGCGGAATTGGACGGCCTGAGGAATAATCGAGCAGATGCTGACAAGTATGAATATGGTATTGAGGAAAAAGAGATGAAACCCCATAAATATGGCCACGCCGAAATTGAGTTGACGTTCACCCGGTTCGTGGAAAATGGAGGGGAAGAGAGCGTCGGTGAAAAGTGGGACGACGGAGATCAGGGTGAACGCCGTGTACAGGACGGCGACTAGGATGCGTACCTGACTGGCGTAGGGGGAGTGGGGAGGGGGATAGGTGAGACATAGAATGAAGCTTGGGCCATTTTCAGTTAGTGTTTATCATGGGAACGGTGTTCGGTTCGGTTTGGCGGAGCGCGGACCGTGGAAAGGAGAGACTAGTAGCAGTAATCTTACAAGAGCAAGAGCAGCACCCAATCGACACCTAGCTGCAACAGATTCAGCCAATCTCCCACTGTTCTCGGATCATGGACGAAAAAGGCTGGCGCATCGGCGCCGGCGATGGTGCAGTTGACGATTGCGGAGAAACCGACGGTAAACCGTTCGGTGGCACTAAGGAGATTCAAAAATGTGTAGATGAGGGAGAGGCCGGTGCTCGTCTTTTGAACCCAGATGCGCAAGAGTTGGGGTAAGAACACCGTGATCTCCAGGACCAGGAGGACCCTGTTGGGAGACTCAGCAGGGTTGCATTTACCCGTGGGGTCTGATACTTACACGCGAAGCCAGTTAGGGCAGGAAATGATCATTTTCTGGTGTTCTCTCCACCTTTTCTTCCATGGGCGAAATCAGTGGATAGCTTTAGGGATGGAAAGCTCATGAGAGAATTTGGAACATTTAAATAGAGGGAAACCGAGAGTCATTAACAACAACCGCTGGGGAATAAAGGGGGACATGTCGGAATTTGGGGCAGGGAGGGGAAGTCTCTAGTCTCTACTATTAGGGCGAGTAGGAAGCCCGTCAATGCATCGCTAGGGCCCTGCCGCATTAGCATTGTAACCGGCCATGCCTCCTGTCAGTGGGGCGAGAGCCGCCACTCTATGCATTTTCCAATCCTTACTAGTAACAAACCGACTAACATTTGGGTAAAAAAACACTAAGATAATGGTAGAATTGCATGGTGTATTTGTACTTCCCTCAAAGCGTCTTCTTGGTCTTCGTTCTGGGAATTTGACCTCAATTTGCGGCAGGTAGTACTCGCGGTGGTTTTTGTACAGTTCAAAACCTTATAATATGTCTGCACCTCCTTCCTTATGCACCAACATGCCAGGATACGACAGGAATTGGATGTGGCAAGGAGATGATACCTGGTATCAACGTTGGCTACGGATCTGGTCTGTAGCCTGACCAATTTGAGTTTATCAATTGGATGATTTTGGAGAGTCACACTATATTGGTCCTCTGGATAACAGGCCATATAGTCCTTTCACCACAGGTATGGCTTCTTTCAATTACGTTGAGCATATGCCTCATGATAGATGCCATGATGGCACAACTGCAAATGCGGCATCGCAATTACAAGCCGAGTCCTTGCCCAATGAAGTAGCCCAGAACCGCCTCTTCTTCACTGCCCTGCTGGCTAATAATGAGTGTAGTATACATAACCAGAATAGCAATATCGGGGAACTAACGATTAACTGAAGGAAAGCGAAGACGCTAGTAATGGTACCCTTTCGAAGAGAGAGATTGGGAAGGAACAGACCCCCAAGATGCGTGTCAGGTAGGAGGGTCAGACGCTTTTGAACCAGTGCGACCAAGTCAGAACATAGCAATTATATATTAGTTTTTATCCGACTAATTTTCCGCATTGTCCTGGAAGAAGTGTCACGGATGCTGGCAAATGTTGGGACGTTTCGGCTACAGCCGGCCAGAAGTACCGGCTCGGATAGCGGTGCCGACATTTCTCCGAGCGAATCCCAGGCCCGATCCCGGTGTGCCAAGCTCGGAGACGACGAAAGCTCCCTCGTACAGCCATTTGGATCTAGATATCTCGATTGTACATTGCATTCTACATACGTGTATGAACTGCGAGGTCTATTTGAGCTACTCCCCTCATTAGGATGAGTAGTATCATCTACTTTACCCCCAAGACCAGCCTTAACTCCTTGTTTGACGTCACAGCAAGCGTACACCATGCCGGGAGTTCCATCAAACAAGGCATGTGAGCGATGTAAGAAGCGTCATCTGAAGGTTAGAATCGCATGTTACAATTTACTTGCTGCATCAGTCTGACCATCTCAGTGTGATGAGACACGCCCCAGCTGCCAGCGTTGCACTAATGCTGGAGTTGAATGCCCGGGATATGTACAAACTCGCAAGTTTATCGATCAGGGTGCTTCTGTTCGGCGTCGATATGCGCCATATCAGCAGGATAGCCCCCGACGGGATCCTTCACATAGTCCCAATAAAGTGAGTACATGCACGAGGGTATAACTACCCGTTCTCGTGTCCGCCCGTAAACATCGGTCGTCAACTGCTGCTCACACCGGTTAGGTGACGCGAGAAAGTCCACCAAATATTGGAGGAGCTGCAATCAGAAGCAATGCTGCTAATGATCCAATACACACGCGTGTAGCTGCAACAGCTGTAGCCGATCAGCCAGCCGACGCTAGTCAAACCTTTTTTGGTTCGCCTATAGCCGAATCAAGACGTCAAAACCAATTACAGGCGGAAAGTCAGCATAGCCCGAACGCTGGCGCTGGAGCAGCTGCAGTGGCTGAACAGCCATTGTCGGAGATGCATAGTCGTGCCGCTCAAGTGGCTCACACTCATAGTAACCCTTTTGATGATAGACTTCATCCCCACGGGGATGCACCCATGACTTATCACGAAGAGCATGCAACAGCTGATTATCAATCACCAGCTCATGACAGCCAATCCGTCCAAAGTGATAAAGAGGATTTTCATGAGGTGGTATCAGAGTTAATGACAGACTCTGAGCACGAGATATCCTTTCTTATACGCCATTACTCGCAAAACATCGCTCCATGGTTCGTAACGCCCAACACTGTAATCAGTTTGCGTTCTAACATAATCATGGTGTTAGGCTGGACCTCTCCGATAGTAGAAGGTTCTTTACAACGTACGTTCCCATACGAGCGATAGATTATCCTTACGTGAGATACTCGATCGGCGCCTTAGCAGCAATACATCTGGGCCAGATGAAGGGCGCGACATGTCCGGAAAACGTTGGCATGTTTACTAGCCCAGCAGCCATGGAGACGTATCCTAACGCGCCAGAAGTGGACTGGTATCTCAAGGCGGCAAACTACTACTATATGTCAATAGCGCGCATGAATTCAAGCATGCCAGAGTCCTTTGCGACTTTGTCAAGTTCCGCTGTCCTGGAAGGCCCTGTGGAAATTGTGAAAACCTGGCTGCACCGCCACGCAGAGACTACTCCTCCCCCCGCAAGAGACGAGACTTTTTGGCGGAAGGCAGAGGCCTTGCTAGCCACAGCAACCATGCTCACCATGTATAAACTCATAAGCAAACCCGGAGAGGAATGGAATCTGTGATTAGCCCCTACCCCTTACCCTACACCACCACACCCTATATCTAACCTACATACAAACACAGATACCTCACCGGCGTCAACTCCTTATTCGGATCGCTCCTCCACCTCAACAGTAACTCCTCCGACCCCATAAAATTCACTCACGGCATCAACGCCTCATTCTGGAACTTCGCTCGACAAGACTACCTAGCCTCCTACTTCAACCGCCTTCCCACCTACCTCGACCCAACCAACCTCCCGCTCTGGCGCGCAGCCGGCCTCACCTTCACCGAAACCGGCGAAATCGACCCCACAAGCAGCACCTCCTTCTCCACCCCAGAAGACTTTGCCTCCAACAGCCTCACCTACCTCCTATCCAAGTTGACCAACTTCCTTGCCCACCTCCGAACCTCCCAACTAGACCAACTCATCACTCACCCATCACCCCAAACCAGAACAACCCCAACCACACCCCCAACATCCACCTCCACCTCCACCTCTACAACCTGGCTCGACCTCTCCGTCTCCTTTCAATCCTGGGTCGACCGCATGCCCGAAACATTCCGCCCGTGTTTACGGCTGCACACTCCCCGTCCTGAAGTCTACTACTCCCTCCCATCCTGCGCATCAACCATGCAACAATACCACTTCGGTCGGCTAGCACTATGTCTCAATCGTCCCGCGGACGTCATCACAAGTCCCACCACCGCGTTCGACCGACTCCAGGGGTACAGGGAGGTCACGAAGGAGGTCGATTACAGATGTAAGGAGATTGTGGGGATTGCAGCGGCGAGGCCCCAGAGCTGCGCGCGGATTTATATGCCGGCTTTGCTGTTCGCTGCGGGACAGTGTTTAGAGAAGCAGGAGGAGAGGCAGGTTGTTGAGGAGTTGTTGTGTGGGATTGGGGCGGATTTGGGATGGGAGACGGATTCGGAGATTCAGAGGTTGAAGGGGTTGTGGGAGGAGAGGTAGATTGGTTATTTATTTGTAACTTTGTGTAGTTGGGAGGGTGTATTTATAGCGAGTTGGGTGGGTAGTGTAGAGGGTGCGTTTGGTTTGTGTATTCTGTATTGTGAATTCTGGATACAGTTGAGTGCCGATACGGCAGTTAGGAAGAGCCGAAGCTGAATCACTAACTTTGAAGATAAAGTAAGTATATGATTGGATGAAAGGTACAGCCAGTCATATAATAGTATTGTTATGGTTGTACCATCCAACAGAAGAAAACCAGAAAAACCGACACAAAACCTGTCTCACATCTCCCTGAACCCATCAATTCCCTGTTCCTAGCCATGCATAACGACGCACATAGTGCTTTGTACAAAGTCAATGACCACACAAGAGACCAAACCTAGAAGCCATCCATTGACGTAGTCCCATCCAACCATGAGACCCCACAGCGGCATATTCCCGCCAACTCGAACGGCAATGAAAGTGGAGAAAGGAACGAAATCCGGGGAAGTGGGTCTCCTCCCAGCACAGACATCTCCGTGACAGACAAGCAGTCGCTATAAGAACCAATGAAGGACCCATGCTTAGAAGATCGGCTACAGCAGCTAGTTTCATCCTGGGTTTCCCTTTCGGAAACCCCCGCTCTGGGGTCGTATCGCCTGTCTGGGGTTCCTTGGGTCGGCTATGGGGGTGTTGGGGTCCGGGGGAATTCCGCGTTGGGCGGGAAGGGTCTGAGTGTTGGCGTAGGTGGTAATGCAAGGGATTTGGGTAGATAAAGGGGTGATAGTTGTGGGATTTTGCGGGTGTTGTAGGGCTTTTTTAGAGCTCGCTCATCTGAAGTGGAAGAATTTATTGTTTTGATTCTCGATATGGAGATAAATTATGATGAAGCGGTAAGTGGTCTTTGATCATGGGTTGAAATGCGAAATACTAACAAGGATGGTGCGTAGGCTCTCCATCAGTATGTGGAATCCCTTGAGGAACTGATCGCTGCTAATAATCTCCAGGATTGAGCGGGAGCTCAATACTGAGATCTATCCAGGGACAGAGATCATGGCAGATGTTGGGTCGCACCACTTCGTGAAAGCGTCGTCGCGATCAGATCGTGTTCTCGTCCCGCAGCCGTCGCAAAGCCCACATGATCCTTTGGTGAGTGGTACTGCAGTCGGAGCAATATAAGATCTTTAACGCTAATCGAAAGCCTCAGAACTGGAGCAAAACGTGGAAGATAACTGTTATCTGCTTGTCCACTGCGGTTTCCTTCAGTCAGGGTCTAGGACCTTTGGCCTTAGCACCAATGTT